TGCTGACTTTTGCTCCCCCATCTGAACATTTCTGCCTTTCTTTTTTTTTTTTTTTGTCTTTTTCCAAATTACATTTGCAAAGGGAACCTTCAAAATGTCTTGGCTGCCTGAATCAAAACTGTGAAGAGGTCTCAGCTGCTCCATTCATCTGAACAGATTTCTGACACAAATAAAGGCTGGATTTCGGAAAGCAAAGCACTTAAACACTTGATTCTCTTAAAGCACGTGCTTGAGTACCATTGAAGTACCTGCTCTTGTGCAGCTCTGTGCATTTGGTGCCGGGGTTGTTGATCAGGGCTGTTTCCCTGCTCAGAACCTTTGCAAAAAGAGCCAACTGAAGACTGAAGTGTTTTTACCAGCACTATGAAAGCATCCTTCCTGCTGAAATCAAAGGTGTGCAAATTGAGCTTAATAACAAAATAATTCTGGGACAGCAAGTCTCATTACCCCCACTCATTCTTAGTTCACTGCAAGATTCTGCTGCAATTCCCAGTGCATCTAAGATTTTTTTTTTTTTTTTTGAGATCCTAATTTCATTATGCTCTTCAGCATTTCACTGCAGGCAGCCATAAGGATGGAGAATCACTTGAAATCCTGTGTTCAAGATACTTAGTGCTGGTACTGCAGCTGCTGAGTAACACACAGCCTTTAATATATTTATCCTCAATTGTCTTTCTGAAGTTCCCATCTATTATTACTCCATCTGGGAAAACAGGGTACAGAGAAGTAAAACCAGAAGTCAGACAGCCTGTCTGCAGCACAGTGAGTAATTGGACCCCTGGATCCCAAGCTGCCACTGTAATCACTGTACTGCATTCCTCAAATCTGTAATAATTAAAATGACAGTCTGGGCCATTGGCTGATGTGGTGGGCTGGAGCCTTTACACTTGGGAATATGAGAATAGGAAGTCAGTGAGAGGCTTTTTCTGGCTCTTCCAGTAGTAGCTAAGCATTAGAACACCAAATTTATTAAATAACTAAAGATTTTTATTTCACAGACCAGTTTGATTTTAGCTTTACAAATGCATGTTTTGATTCATCCTAACTTAAAAATGGAACATAAAATTGCTACAGGAGTTTAATAGTCATGAAAGAGCTCTGAAATGTAGTTAATAAAAATGTTTTATCTGTGTGAACATATACTAATCTCAACCTCTATTAATCATTCTAACAATGTGCATGAGTTTGGGTAATGTGTCTTCTAATAAATGTTCATGTGAGCAATCTGCTGGCCATTGCCAGTTTCCTAAATGAATACCTTAATGGTTTCTGTAAGATTTTTTCCTATGATTTTGAATTGAAACTGCAGAAGAAGAGACACCTTGATAATACCGAGTTTTTTGAATCACCTAATAGATTATGTAACCCTCATACTCAAATAATGTTATTCTAGTGTTGTTAATTTACTGCGGGTCTCTGTTCCATTTAGCAAAAGGGTTTGACTGCAAATGCTGGCTTGAGATATCAGAAAAATGTCTTATAAATGTGGTTTTGCTAGTTAAATTGTGTACTGTCCAGAATTTCTTAAATAGCAGGAAATATCTATTGGTTGAACTAAAAGTCTGCTGTTTGTTTAGAGGATCAGTTAGGTTTGCAGCTGAGGTTTTCATTCATTCAAAGAATTAGTTAAAAATCAAAACCAAATATTCAGGAGCAAAAAGAAATTGGTTCTGTTGTGCTTTAACATATTAGGAGCTGTGTTCTCAGATTTCATTATCTTTTGCAACAGTAATATATGGTAGGCAAAGGATCTTAAAGTTTGTTGTTATTATTCCTTTAAAATCGTTGTGGTGGAGAAATATATTTGTAGTTTGCAAACCAAGAAAAACTTCAACAACTGCAAAAGTGGGATTAATTTTCTGGATGTGTGCAGTTCAGTGAACATTTTAATATTGCTTTATTTTCCCTATACTGCCCACAGTTTCTCCTTAGGCACATTTTAAAAGGCTGAAGAACTGATTCTCATGGTGTGCTTCACTTGGGGAGTGTCTCACCAGGTTACAGCATTTGTGCTTTAGTTTTGTTTAGGTAGACATGGCTCAGTGAGCTGTAATCAGCAGAACCTCCTGGAGGTTCTGCACAACAGTCGGGTGGTTTATTTCTCATGGTACAGAAGTCTGGGAGTAGATATTGGAAGTGACAAAAAAAGAGTGTATTTAGGGTAATTCTGGTCAGGAAAGCACATGAATGTATCAATTTATTTTGTCATAGTAATTAAATATAATATTTAGGTCTAGAGAGTTGTAGATCTTAGCAGTTGCTTCAGCCCTTACTGGGAAATGAGAAATTTGTTGCTGTATCACTTCTCCTTTCTCTCTCTTCTGCCTTTTCTTTAAACTTTCTTTTTTCCTTAACAGTGCTCTGGTAATTTCTTGACTATTTAATTTAAAGAAAAAACATTAACATTTCAGTGGGTCCTGGGAAGTTCTTTTGTACAGTTTGTATGTATTTAGAAGATAGCTAAATGGTTGCCGTAGTGTCCTGCTGAGCATTAATTTCCAAAGCTGGTTTGGATTTGTCATGACTACACCTCAGATGGACATTGTCATGTGAGATTTTAACACTAATATCTGTTACAGCACTAAATCAAAAGAGGCTTTTTAAAAGGATTGCTGATGTCCTGTTCTAATGTGTTAAGTGCTTTCCAGATTTCATTATCTTTAAAGAAGCTTCTTTGCAGCAACCCAATTTCATTAAATTTATCAGTATTTCCCTAGCACTGGGTAACTGAAATAAAATAAAAAATGAACAAGGTGTCAAAACACTTGTTAGAATAGTTATTGTATATAAACTGTACTGGCTACAAGTGTCATCTCCTGAAAGAGGCTTTTGGAGTACCTGAGGGATTTGCATAAATGCATTGTCTTTTTTGAATTACCCCAAGGTGCAGTGAATAAATTTGTACTGAATGTTGGCTTAATGGTGCATTTGTCTGGGACTGTATCTTAAAGGTGTCCTGTAAGCCTTGCTTTTACCAGATGGTCAGAAAACCTGGCAGAATTTCAATTTTATTGTCTTAAATGCCATACTTTTGGAATCTGGAAAAATATATTCTCCACATGAAATGTGTTCCCAAATGTTTGAGGAAATTAGTCTAATTGTGTTGCTGTTCTGTTGGTGGATATTTGATAGTTTCATTGAAAATCTTGATTTTTTTTTTGTTTGTTTGTTTTAGAGATTTGTTACTTGTGATTTTTATTCTGGTTTTGGGTTGAAAGCCTGTGAAAGCCCACTCAGAGGTACAGAGGTTTTTGAAGGAACAGTAAGATGATCAATAATTTTCAGTTAGCTGAATCAGCATTTAAGTTGTTTCATGTTTGAAGGAGCACTGTCTTCCACAGGTAATTCTGTAAATGCTGTTTAATGTATTTCTGAGAGAAGTACTGAGACCTCAATAATAGCTAACAGCTTTGCATTTGATATTTGAATGCATGGATATACACATTTACACTATAATGCATTGCTGGTTAGATTTTTTTGTTTGGTTTTGGTTTTGGCTTCTTTTATTTAAGATAACTCCATTTTTAGAGTTTTTCTAGATGACTTAAAACCAAGTAAGGGAATATTTGCCCAGGGAGATTAAGGACGGTTAACATTACAGCTATTTAGTAGTTCTTATTCTTTACATTTTTAAAATCTGATTATTTTCTGACTTCTAGTTGCGTGTAGATTTTGAATTAAAAACTTGCCTCTGGGAAATCAATCATAAAATATTCATTCACTTTAAGGAGGCAAGGATTTAATCTGTGTACATCCCTTTTTAAACTTGTAAATACAAATTTTCAATAGAGTTTTAGCCCATGAAAGCAAATTACAGAGTTCAGTATGCAGAAGGACACTTACCTTTGCTCGTGTTGAATATTTATGCCAGTTTAGTACTGAGTGAGTGAAGGAGGGATGCATGTGTGGTGTAATGGTCTCATTATTGATGTGTGGTGACTGAAATGTTCGTGCTGCCATTGACCAGCCCTGAAGTGAAACTGAAGAGATGCATCCAGCACAAGAGCCATTGCTGTGCATTTTAAAACAGGTTTTTATTCCACACTGCCCCATCCAAGGAGCTATTTAGTAGAGCTGTTATACACTCTTGAAGAATAACAAGATTTCAGGGAAGAACTGGTTTGGTTTGGTTTTGCTTTCATATGTTTCATGTACAGAAAGAACACAAAGGTGAAAATCCTCCAGGGAAGGGAGGATTTTGATGCCAGGATTTATGTTGCATCATAAGCAACCTCTTCCCCACTCTTATCACATGATTGTTCTAATAACTTGTGGTGTTTGGGTGTTGTAAGAACAACAGATTTCACCTCTGTTGTGTTGCCATACTGGATTTTGCATTGATGAATAGTCTTGGGCAGCACCAACAACTTTGTTTGTCCTTTCAGCAATGTCATCCACCTGCCAAACAGAAATGTACTTATATATATGATGCTGTGTGTTCTGTTATTTGACAATTTGTGTAATGTGAAACTGAACATTGACTTTAGGCCTGCCTTTTCCTATTAGTTCAGTTTAGGAGTGATAGGCTGCATGTCCTGTGTATTTATTTACATTTACGGAAGAAAAGTTCATGCAACTGTGAAGTAAATTTCAATGGATTTTTTTTAAAAAAAACCTGTGTTTAGAGTGATTTCAGATTTTCCAGTCAGGTTTGCTATTCCTTATTTTTAGCTGCAGAATAGTGAAATTCAGTGAAGGCTTGTAGTAGCTGTGCTTATTTTTATAGTTATAAGCTTTATAGTAAGCTTAATTTTTGTGTAGAACATCATCTCAGAATTGGTTTCATAATGTTCTTTGAATTGGATACCATGTATTTTGTCCTTTATTTGATTTATAGTTTCTTCTGGAATGTGTGTTGTTTATGGATCCTGAATCTCTGCCTAAGACAATGTGTGGGGGTTGGGTTTGACTTTATTTTTTTTAAGGAAAAAATGTTTTTTGCAATTATATCTTAATCCTAAATATTTTCTTTCTGCTTTTCTTTTGTGTTTCTGACTTAGGAATTTTATGTGCTTGGTGGAGATGGAAAAGGAAGAAAAGCAAGCTGGTCTCCAGAAGAAAGAAGGCAGCAAATATTTAATGGAACTTTTTTTCTGTGAAACCATGTTTTGAGTGTTCCTCCTAGACGTCGTCCATAAATATCCTAGATATCAGCTGATTGCTATGATTGGAGACCTGGCTCATCAAACAGTGTACACTGGGAGAAGCCTGCCTAGGATAATACATTTTCTATTGTTTCTGAAAGTCTCTAAGAAAACACTGTAGACATCTACCTGTTATTAACTCTGCATCTTGATTGAGCAAAACTAGTCTTCGAAGTGAACAGAAACAGAGCCTTTTTGGAAACTTTTATTGAACATGACTCATGGAGAAGAGCTTGGCTCTGAGATGCACCAGGATTCTGTTGTTCTAACTTACCTAGAGGGATTACTAATGCATCAAGCAGCAGGAGGCTCAGGTACTGCAGTTGACAAAAAGTCCACTGGGCATAGTGGGGAGGATCAAAACTTTAAGATTTCAGGAAATATATTTCCCAGCTGTCAGAGTAATGGTCCAGTTCTTAACTCAAGTACGTATCGGGGATCTGGCATGCTGCACCTCAAAAAAGCAAGACTGTTGCAGTCTTCAGAAGACTGGAATGCAGCAAAGAGAAGGCGGTTGTCTGATTCCATTGTGGATTTAGATGGAAAAAAGGAAGCTTTGTTGGCTGGCATGGTTGAAAATGTGCCTAAAGGCAAACAGGATAGCACATTACTTGCCTCTTTGCTTCAGTCATTCAGCTCTAGGCTGCAGAGCGTTGCTCTGTCACAGCAGATTAGACAGAGTCTTAAGGAGCAAGGGTATTCTCTAGGCCATGATTCTTTACAAGTGGAGAAAGATTTAAGGTGCTATGGTGTTGCATCCAGCCACCTGAAGACTCTGCTGAAGAAGAGCAAAGCAAAAGATCAGAAGCTGGACAGCAGCCTGCCTGACATCACTAAGAACCTGCCCAAAGAGAGGTTTATAGAATCTCCTCACGCGGTGCAGAGCAGCCCCAAGGTGATGAACGAGCCCCTGTCGTGTGCTGCAAGGTTACAGGCTGTTGCAAGCATGGTGGAGAAACGATCCAGTCCTGCTGCTTCGCCCAAGCCCAGCGTAGCGTGCAGCCAGCTGGCTTTGCTCCTTTCCAGTGAAGCCCACTTGCAGCAGTACTCCAGGGAACATGCTTTAAAAGCACAAAATGCCAATCAGATTGCAAGCGAGAGACTCGCGGCCATGGCCAGGCTACAAGAAAGTGCTCAGAAGGACATAGGCCAGTTTGGTTTGGCCAAAGGAATGACAAGCCATCTCAATGGTCAAGCAGGATCATCCCCCAAAGCAGTCACTAGCAAGGGCAATGTGGCACCGTTTCAGAGTTCAGTGGGAATCATGCACTCGCCTCCCAAAACTGTGGGATACAAAAGTACTGTGGAAAGGAGTAACTTGAAAACCTCTCCCAGCAACAGTTTGCTCTTACATCTGCTGAAAAGCCAGAATACCACCAAGCAGGTGAAAGGGCGTGAGCAGAGCGAGAGAGGCAGCATTTTTGAAGACAGCAGCACACCAACAACTGTTGATGAGTATTCAGACAACAATCCCAGTTTCACAGAAGACAGCAGTGATGATGAAAGCTCCCATTCTAACTGTCTTCCTATAGACCTTTCCTTTAAACAGAGGACAGATAAACCAGATGCAGGTGCATCTGCATCACTGGATAACCTGACTCAGTCCTTGCTTCGTAACTGGGATCCAAAAGTTTCGTGTCCAGAGAACAAGGAAGAGAAAGACACTCCGAAAGCTTCTAAGCTGAATCCTCACCAGAAAGTAACACTACTTCAGCTGTTACTTGGGCATAAGACTGAAGAACAGGTAGACAAGAGCAATGATCCTCAGGGACCACACAGTACAGCTGATGTGGCAAAATTCACTGTACAGACTGGGAAAAGGACTCCTGTTGCTGACAGTCCCAGTGCCAACCGAATGACTCCGTTAAGCACTCCACCCTTGCTGGCTTCTGCAAAAGCAGACTCTCCTATAAATCTCTCACACCAGTCACTGGCTGTCAAGCGGAGCTCGCCACCCTATGCCTGCAGCATCCAGCCGGACAGACTGATGAATTCTGCGTCCAAACACTTGATAGACCTGTCCAAAAGCAAGGAAATTCAAGGAGCTAAGCTGAGCAGGACTGATAGTCCCCAGAACTCCTCGGCATTCAGTGCCAGCAAGCTGCTGCAGAACCTGGCTCAGTGCGGCATGCAGAGTTCCATGTCGAGTGAGGAGCAAAGAGCTAGCAAACAGCTGCTGGCAGGGAACATGGATAAACCTGTGGGCTTGATTGATAGATTGAACAGCCCTCTGCTTACGAATAAATTGAGTATGCATGAAGAAAATAACAAAATATTCAGTTGTCAGCCCGCACCCGCTGAACAAGGACTTCCAGGTTCGGAAATAGAAAATCTCCTTGAAAGGCGCACTGTCCTTCAGCTGCTTCTGGGAACTCCCAATAAAGGTAAAAGTGAAAAGAAAGAGAGGATGCTTTTAAGAGATGAAAGTTCTCAAGAACAGACAGACAAGGCTTTGAATGAGCAAATATTGACGGTGAAAATAAAAACTGAACCATCTGACGAATCAAATGTTCCTTATAATTCAAATGCACAACAAGTAAGAGAATGCAAGGGTAACAAATTCCAAGGGTTTGCTCATTCACTGCAGAGAAACACAGCTGCTTCTCCAGCATCCGAGGAGGTGAAATCTGAGCCTCTTTCACCTCAAGATTTCTCTTTTTCCAAAAATGGCCTGCTAAGTAGGTTGCTGAGACAGAATCAAGACAATTACCCTGCAGATGAGCTGGACAGGAGTCACCGAAACAACGAGCTGACACACCATGAATCCAAGAATCTTTGCACAGTACCGAAGAAGAGGAAGCTTCATGCTGAGCCTTTAGAAAGCCCATTAAAAAAGATGAAAAGTAATGTGTCTGATGCTGGAAACAATCATGCTTCTCCTACCGAGGCACTGTACGGGCCTTTGCTTAACCAGCAAGAACTGAAATTCAGCAGAAGTGATGCTGAATTTAAATATGCTGTAAGTCATGGTTCAAATAGTGAAACTGAAAATAGGAGTTGGTCTAGAGATAGTAAAGGCTTTAATGTGTTGAAACAGCTGCTTCTCTCAGAAAACTGTGAGAGAGATCTGTCACAACATAGGAATAACATGCTAACAGAGGGCAAGAAAAAAGGAAACAAAACCAGTGCAACAATCAATAAACCTGAATTCACCATTTCTTCAGTAAGATCGTTGGTGGGAAGCCCTGTGCAGCAGAACAATTGTGTAGATCACAGAACATTTCAGTATCCCGTAGCAGTGAAAAGTCCAGCCAGCTCCCCCTTCCCTGAACATCTGGGGAGTACGGTGTCCAGACTGGAGTCCGACCAGTTCAGCATGTGTTCCATGCCCAGTGAGAAGGGCCCCATCAGATGGGTGATCACGGGCATGGACAAGAACGATTATGAGAAAGACTCTCCGAGACTGACCAAAACCAATCCCATATTGTACTACATGTTACAGAAAGGTGGCAGCTCTGTCAGCAGCCAAGAAGCACATGACAAAGAAATTTGGAATGAACCTTCATTTACCGAGAGCGCAACTCGTGTTACAATCAAAGAGGAGTTGACATCTGACTCAGAGCTTAAAACTCCTTTCAGTAATTTAAGAAGCCCTTACAACAGCCATATGGGGAGTAACACCTCTCATCAGCACGGTGGTGTGAATGGAGAAGTGCATGGACTTCTGGAAAAAGTGCGAACAATCAAAAAAGAGCCAGAATAAACTGCAGCCTCCTCAGTGAGTTTACAATCAGCGGTTTTGAATCTTTGTTTAAAAAAAAAAAAAAAAAAGAAAGAAAAGAAAAAAGAAAAATGAGTATGAACTTCACACTGTATAAATTGAGCATGATTTAAAAAAAAAAAGCATGGTCTAATTGAAATGTTTTCATTTGATAAACTTTTTATTTTTCTGGTGATGTTATTTAAAATACATGTAGATAAAATTTGCTTTACAGTAGATTGTCACAAGGAAACTAGAAGGGTTGTAATTTGTACAAGACGTTTCTGTATGTATCAGATTAAGTTATGAGTACTCTTTGATCAGAGTCTTATTTGGATCTGCAAGCTTTTGGTATAACATAAAGTGTAAGCGTACAGCCTAGGTGGTGGTAATGCTGCGTTTTCTCCCTCCCTGTAAAATAATCCTTATTTTTTTGAAGGCTGAGCATAGAGACAGTGTACTTTTTTTTTTTTCCTGAATGTTTTAATATGTTTTGTGAAAATTTTAAGAATAACTTTTAAGAAGTGGAGCAGTCCGTCCAAGGTATTAGCTCGTCATATTGGAAAACCTGCGTCAGTGTTAATAATTGAAGTGCACTGAAATGTATTTTTTAGTGCTTCCAAAATTTGTATTGTTATTTTTAAATCTTGTTTGTGGTCCTGCCAGAATAGTGGTGTAAAATCTATTTTTCTTCCTTGCCCTGCTCTCAACAAATGCCTTCCTCAGAATTCTTAGCCATAGTTATGAGTTACTAGTTAGAATTAAGGGTTTTTTCTAGGTTTTTATAAAAAAGGCAGATTTTCATAGGCCGTGCAAGTACTGCATGAGTCCTTTTGTCGGCACATTCCTGTCACTTTCCTGCCTAAAAGGGGAAAGCCAAAATGCCTCTTGGAGTAGTGTGATTGAGAAGGCTTAGTACATGTATTCAGTGAGGAAAATGCTGGAAAGCTTGTGAAGGGGATGAACAGAATTGTGTTCAGCACCATCCTGCTTCCCTGTGGAAGAATACCAGCTGCACTAAAACAGCACATCAGACTTCCACTCAAAGATGGAATAGGATTTTAATGAAAAATGTGTTGGCCTCTTCCTGCAACCAGGGAAAAGAATCTATAATCTGCCAATATTTATTACTCTCTGAACAGCTGATACATGGTTTAATGCACTACCCTTTCACTGCAGAAAATCTGGCTTTAGAATAATTTTCCAGGTAGCACTGAGGATAAAACTGTGGTTTTGTCATGTTCTGTAATGGATAGTGGGATATATCTGAGAAATCCTTCCCTGCCCTTTTCCTCAATCCCCACCTGTGCTGTGATTTGTAACATCTGGCACTATCAGCCTGAGATGGGAGGAACTGAAAATTGCAGTCAGAGCTGAGACATCTTAAAAGAATTGCTGGCTGGGGAAGAGTGCTGTGGCTCTGCTTTCCCGTTAGCACTGTCAGTGTTAACTCCATTTGCAGCCCTTATTTCTCTGGGGGCAGGAAGAGGACAAAATCCAGTTCCTCTAAATTATATGAATTACTGGCAAGCAGAAGTTTTGCTGAACTTTTTACTCCCCTTAAAAAAAACAAGTTCTCTGTGGCTTCTTGATTTCACAGATAATCCTCTCTGCCATCAGCAAGCAGCTCAGCAGTTGGCTTGCACAAATAACGAAAGCTGCACTCTGGTTTAATGTTGTCTGTTTTCAGCGTGGCGAGCCAGTGACATGACAAAACTGCTGTTTCTGTCCATCCCGTGTCTGCATAGCAGACATCAGGGACGGGGCATTTTGCTCTTTTCCATCTGGTTTGGTTTCAGAGATCCTTCTCCCAGACTCGTGTCTTGCTGAGACAGAGCAGGCTGTTGTCCCCCTCTTGTCCCTGTCCCCAGCCCGAGATCAGTTCCTCCTCTTTCCAGTGCAGTTCCTACTGAAAGGGACTTCTTCTGTCTGACAGCTGGAAAATGCACCACTATTCTGTTTTGCCTCCCTCTGGGGGATACCTTCTTTTAGGGAACACAAATATTTGGCAGTATCTGGTATAAAACATTCCCCCTGGTTTTTATGAGAAATAACAGAGCAATTTAAAGATATATTTTTATGTTACTTCGGTGAAGCATAATATATTAATGGGCTGTACAAAGAAGATTTATATTTTAAAACCTTCACACAAATCTAATATCATTTTAAATGTCATTGTCTGAAGTATAATATAAAAATAAAATTTTGTTTGTCTTTAATATTGCATTTATAAGTAGCCCAATGACAATTCAGATGTCTCATAGAATAATCATTAATGAGATAAAGTATATTTTGGATTGACAGTGGAACTGAATTCTTTTTATATGAGTCAACCCAGCAGAAATATTAAAAAGATGGTATTTGTTCCATCCATTAAATGTCTTTTAAAGTCTTAATTGATTATTTTTCTTGAAACAATGTGTATATAGTTAGGAAATATATACAATATAGAATAATAGATGGTCCCCAGACTAAATACAGGGCTATAATTTGCTTGAAGAGCTCCACAGAAAAATGCAGCATGAGAGGATGTGGAATTATCTGGTGGAAAAAACTTCTCCAAAGTTAAGTTGACATGAAGAGTGGGGAAGAGATTCTGACCCTAGCAAAAAATAACACTGGAATCGAGCAATGTGCTGACCTTTGTATTTATTCTAGGGTAGTCTATTGTTATAATATATACTTTTGAACATTTAGTTTTGGAAGTTTTGTAAAACCGTTAAAATGTTAACAGTTTGACCAGTTAAGGATTTAGCTTTCTTTTTAGTTGATGTTAACAAAAGGGTATTGCCATTCTCACAGACGTCAGTAAACTCTAAGATAAAAGAATTTCAGTTTGGGACGTGGCGTTCATGGAAGAATCTCCTCTCCTGTAGACATTGCACTCTCAAACAGCAGGTAGCAAGGCTGAGGCCCTTGAGAGAGGGCAGGACATGCCAAGGGAATGCTCAGTCAGCTGCTAAGAGGGCAGCTGTCTCCTCCTGTATGGAATTCTCCAGTATCGCTGGTGTTACCCCCTCCCTAGGGAAGAGAGAGGTCTTTGAATCTACCCCATCCACATTTACAGCGTTGACACCTTAGGACCAAAGGCTCTTTAATTTTTTTTTTTGTCATGTAGCATGGGTGAGTGAAAAGGAGTTGCTATTTCTTTCCTTGGGGATTTTTCCATCAGAAAAGAGGGGTGTGGGAGCTGGGTTTGTTGTCCCAGGAGGGACTGGTAGGGCTGGCCACGTTTTCCCAAGCAGCTCTAAGATCCCCAATTTCCACCAGTCCCTGTAGATGAATTGCAAATCAAGGTCATCTCTTGAGTAGCCCTCGGTACTCTGAGCAACTCCTGTTTCCTCTAGGCCTTTAGACTACAGATTTGGAGAGAAATGGGGTCTTGGCAGAGCAGTGCAGGATCAGTGGGTGCTGGTGTGTGATCCCACCATCAAAAGAGCAGGGAGGGAACAGAGAGCACATCTCAGTTACAGCCAGCAGAGACTGCTGGGGGAAAGCTGCCTCCAGCTCTCAGACCAGTGAGGAAGCGAGTTAGGGAATTGTCTCTATACCATGCTAGGAGTGCAGTTGCAGCTCCTTGGAGCTTGGACCTGAATTAACTCTGCCCCCCTTAGCTGGAAGGGCTGGGGCTGCAGCAGCCGCGTTGTGGAGACCCCAGTGCCTTGCTCGAGGGTGGAGCGCCCAAACCCGCTGGATTTGGGGATTGACTCGGAATTGCCACGCAGATATGCCTTTTCTTTCCAGAGGGAAGTGTCTGGGACTCAGACATCCAGGTTTCTAGTGTCTCCTCTGCCAAAGCTTGAGGAAAAGATGGTGGGTAACGCTTGACCACTGAAGTGGAGAGCTGGAGGGCTTCTCTACTGATACCACATATCTGGGCAGCTCAGTTTGAGAAGTTTATATGAGATCAAAAGGGAATTCAGCCATAAGTTTTACTTTTCGTAGCCATTTACTCTTAGTGAAGTTTTTAAATTTTTAATTTACAAATGTTTTTAAAAGAAAGGAGTGGTTTAAATTTTCCCTGTTAAATGTTGGTGAAAGTATTACAGCTCTCATTGACGTCAGTGACATGATATTACCAGTTTGTTCTCTGCCACATCTTACAGAGGAGTAAACTGGTAAGTATATATTATATATATATATTTATATATAATGTAAATATGTTGACTTGTTACGCCTATAATATGTTGAAATTGGTTTTTAAAAGGTGATGTAAATAGTGGTTTCCTTAATGAAAAATACATATTTTGTATTGTTCTAATGCAAAGGAAAAAAACCTTTTAATCTTTTTTGTTATGTATATTCCATGTATAAGTGTAAATATGATCACATAGGTTTAAAAACTTTTGCATGTATGTATACAGTTGCAAGTCTGGAAGAATGTATAGAAAAATTCTTTTATTTAAAGTTGTGATTAACTGCTGCATGAAAAGTGCATGGGGGACCCTGTGCATCTGTGCGTTGGCAAAAAAAAAAAAAGTCTTAACAAGTCAGGTCAGTTCAAAACACAACAGTATTCCACTTCTGGACATGACTTCTGCTGTGGTATTTTAGCTTTGTGAAAGAATGTGCTTCAATTCAAAAGGGTCTGGAAAAAAAAAATGCAAACCTACTTTTAAAACATGAAGTGCTCATACAACTATTAATAAGTCATGTAAGTTCAGGACTACATTTTGCGTAATTGAAATATTGTACCTGGACTATTCCATCCCTGTAAAACAAAGGAGTATTGATTTTCATTGCCATACATAAGAATTTGGGATTTTACCACAACCAGTTTTATTGTGATGTGTCTTCAGTAATTTAACTGGTCTCATTTTTTTTATTAGAAATTAATTTCCTCATGTGGTGTCACAAAACTGTACATACTGCAGTGTGAAGTTTTTTTAAATCTTTCAGTGTTTACTTCCTGCAGAAGATTTGAATAAATGAGAAAAATGCATTGTCTTGATGGTTTTTAAATCTGCTTTTTTTCATGTGTACTTTGTGTTACTGGAGTGTTAGTGGGCTCTTTGCATCAGTGCTGTTGATGCAAATTTCTGACAATAATACCTCAAGGAACTTAGGCACACACAGCCTTCAGCGAGGCTACTGACTGGAAGCTGAGTGTTGTTGAACTGGAAATGAAGCAATCTAAATCAGATTAGCAGCTTTTGTTCACAAAAATCTGTATTATGTTTTATTTAAATACCCTTCTGCTTATTAACTTGAAATCAGTGACCATAAACTGAAAACCTCTAAGTGGGAATTCTCACGTGAAAATAATTTTGCATGTTAAAACATTGTTCATGTCCCTTGTGCAGGGCAGAAAGATCTGTTTTCCCACTAAAATCTACTTTGGTTCATATCACAAAGAAGGCTTCTCAGTTTCTACATTTGCTTAAGAACATAAATAGACAAATAAGTGAACACAGTTTGCCCATGAAGCCCACACAAAGGTTTAACAGTGTACTTCCATCATATTTTGGAGTTAAGTCAGCTTATGACATTGGTGCAAATGATGGATTGCAGCATTAGTGCAAGTGCTGTTTCTCCAGGAAATTTTTGTTCCAGGGTGTCCAGGCAGTGTCTAGAGCTGTACAGTTGCAAGCAAGCCCATAGGATAGGTCATGACTGTCTTGGGTAACACTAACACCTTTTTTAATGAATCATCCCATGCTTCCTGGTCTCAGCAATAAATTGTTTGCCTGGTTCTTTGGAAGCATTCTGGAAGGCAGAAAATGTAATACATGAAGGTAATTTTAAAACAATAATTCCGAGTCCATAGACCTCATCTAGGGCCTCCTGAACTGTATAACTGAGCATTTTAATTGTTCAGTATCCAAAATGGAACTGCGTGGGGATGCTGTCTGACTTTGGATACATCATCTCGCAGTATGGGTGTAATGCCACCAGTGATGCTCAGCTGTGCTCCAGAGGGAAAGGACCCTGACCCAGCTTCTGCCCAGACTCTCCTCTCTGTAAGTAGGCTTGATGTGAGGGATCAATGGCTGAGCCAAAAGGCAGCCACCTGAAAAAGCAATATCACTAAGGAGCCAATCTCATCTTCTAATGTCAGTGCAGCTTGGAAATAATGTCGTGAAATACCTGGTTTCATCAGTGCTGTGTTTTTCAGTTTTGAGCTTTGTCACCAGGCAAAGCCAGCGCTCTACCTCTGTTTCTTCAGTGGTGATGCCCTGGGACAGTTCCATGGAGCACCTGAGTATCTCTGACTTTTCTGTTATTACTTGGTGGGGGTTTCAGGCACTTGTAAATTCATTTGTGCTGTGACACCAAGTAAAACTAGCACAGTGTCTACCAGAACAAGCAGGGCTGCGGAGCTGGGTGTAAGGTGTGCTGAACTCCACACACCTGTGGTGGGGTGCTGAGGATGTGGAATGGGTGTGGTATCCCAAGAACCATTCCCCTCTGAGGAAATGTGAACAGCATTTGCTTGGTGATTCAGAACGAACTCACTCAGAAGTGCCTCACACTGCCAGTGAACTCTTCACAGACAGACCTGTGGTCACATGGAATCGTCTTGGTCCCCAGCGTGTTCCTCACAGAATGAAAATTGAATGTGGTGTTGATGGGTCTTTTCCACCAAACAGCTGCTGGATGAAGGAATTTTCATTTCTGCTTGAGATTTCCAAACTGGGAGGGCAGGGGACAGCAGTAGTGTTCATGGGAGTTGGCACCCCGGTCTTCTCTGCTCCTGAGTGAAATGAGCTGTAGCACTGTGGGTGTCGAGGACAGGTGTGGACTCTGGTAGGTCATTTGTAGGGATGTGCACTGTGGAAGCCTTTGTAGGAGTAGAGAAACTTACTGCAGTAGTACAGACGTGTCTTTAAATACGAAAAGTAAAGCAAATTATTCTTCACTGACTGTAAACTTGCCAAGAAAAAATGTGGGTTTGAAACTAAAGAATACAATGACAATGTTTTGCTGTATGGCACAGCTTGGCACATTAGGGCTCTGGAATACACCCATGGGAATGTCTGTAGGGACTTGATATGAGCCTACAGCAGAGGCTAGGATATGCAGGCAGTAATTGCTGATAATATTTTTATTTCCTTTTGATTGTCAGAGTGACTCAAAGGGAGCATGGCACAAACTTGAGGCATAAAAATCCTCTCTGCTGGTAGCTATCAATGCTGCTAATGAAGGAGCATATGCTGATCCAAGCTCACAGCAACCCACTTTGATTTGGCTTTCTAAAGAATGGCTTGCTCTTAATGAACCAAGAGATTTGTCACTGTTTCCAGATTACTTTTCTGGTTAAATTACTCAGAACTTAGCTGAGTGCAAAAACAAACATAATTGACTTGTGAATATGCCAGTTAGATAAACCTGATGCCTGCTTCCACAATTAAAGTCAGTGTGTACCTTCAGTGCATTGTGGTGTGTTGGGGAGAGATGGAGAGACAGCTGTCCTTATCCACAGTACAGATGATCTGGATTCTCTTCATCCGGTCTAGTTTGGGAAGGTGGTGAAAATTTCTCACTAAACAGGAGGCAAATTTCTCACAAACAGGAGCTTAGGCTGCTCTCTAAGATAGTGGGTGCTCTCTGGCCCCAGTCTTCACTGAAGCTGCTGCTGACTTTGAGAGTCACACCCCTTTGCATGCTTGAATTCCTTCAAAAATTTCAGCTCAAAGGTAGTAGCTGCAGATGAGTTGTGGGTAGGCAGTGAGATGGATACATCGAGTCTGTGGTTATCTCTGCATTTGTCTGTCTGCACCTCTGTAACTCTAGCAAAGTGTTACAGCTTTTAAAGTTCTTCCTGACTAGATTCCATGCCCAAATCTCAGGTACTGAGAGAAAGTGATGAAATTCAAGGATGATTTGGAGTTGGATGCCCTGGTGCTCAGTCTCTTGTATGCTGTGACTTCGGAAATGCTTTGCTAGAGTTTCTGTGGAAGTGGGAAGTTCCTCCAGTAGCTGATATAATTGCACCTTTCTTTTTCCCCCTGAATTCACATTTTACTCTGAAAGAATCCTTTGGTTTGGTGTTAGGTTTTTTTCAAGAAGCCTCATTGACTCTCACATACCTCACAAATGGCTCAGTAATTCACCTTTGGAGAGCCAAAGAAGCCTTCAAGTGATGCGTGCTGTCCTCACACAAGTGCATCCGTGCCTGTCCTCTGTGTGTGCAGTGGTGGACCAGTGACTTGGGGCTCTTAGCTTTTGTGCCACAGTTACTTAAAGTGGAGAAGGAAGAAAGAGAGTGAAGAGGAATCTTAAGGTGGCAAGCTACAAGATGTAATTCCCAAGTGCCCTTTTACTTTCTAATCCCACTTAGTATTCTGCTATTCAACATGGCCATAGTGAAAAATTCCTCATTAGCATTTGCAGCAAGAATTAGATAGATCCAGGAAACAAAAATCTTGTGTAGCTATTCATGTCAGGGGTTGTAGACTCATAGAATGGCTTGGCTTGGGAAGGAGCTTAAAGATAATTTCATTCCAACCCCCTGCCATGGGCACAGACACGTTCCACTGGACCAGGTTGTTCCAGTGGAGCTCCATCCAACCTGTCCTTGGACACTTCCAAGGATGGAGCAGCCACAGCTTCCTGGGGCAACCTGTTCCAGTGCCTCAGCACCCTCACAGAACAAATTTGCTTCCAAATTTCAAATCTAAATCTACCTTCAGCTTAAAGCCATTTCCTCTGTCCTATATGTCCATGTGACCTTGCGAAAAGTCCCTCTCCAGCTCTCTTGAACCCCCTTTAGGCACTGGAAGGTGTTCTAAGGTCTTCCCATAGCCTTCTTTGGACTGAACAACCCCAGCTTCCTCATGTTCCATCCCTCTGGTCCCCTTGGTGCCTGCTCTGGCCTGGCTCCAGCAGGTCCCTGTCCTTGCTGTGCTGGGAGCCCAGAGCTGGATGCAGCCCTGCAGGTGGGGTCTGAGCAGAGCGGGGCAGAGGGGCAGAATCCCCTCCCTGCCCTGCTGCCCACGGGGCTTTGGATGAGCCCAGAACATGTCTGGCTGAGTGTACAGAGATCAGTTCCACCATGGAGGTACTTAAATCATGGAGTATTACTGATGCAGGTTTGCTTTCTTCCTAGTCCAAAATCTAAAGAAGCTTTACATTTCATTATGAGCAAGTACCAGGAGCTGGTTGGTCAGCATGTAAATATGTCTAAAATCAGAAAAAAAAAAGGTTTAGGTAATCCTTGCATACAGTGATGTCTGTCTCTTGTGTAAGGAACTGTTAACTCTCATGCTATTTTCCCCCTTCCTCTTACCTATTATTTTGAATCCTTTCATCTCATCTTTAAACTACACAGGAGCCCAGTCATCACCCATGAAGGGCAGAGGAGACAAAAGAAGTATATATTTTTAGACAACTCCTTTGAAATAAGTGTTTGCCTAAGGTACTGAGTTATGCATTGGCTGTATTGAATGCTGTGTCTTGGTCTCTCCTCTGAAAGTATTCACCCAAGGCATTGCATAGTGCCTGCACACTGAGAAGAGAGGTGATGACATCTAACAGCAGCTACCCCCAGCACCCCCTTCATTTTAGCATGCTGCTTAGTGTGGCAGAAAGAAGCAAAGTGTATGACACAAAGCCTTTTTCGCTCCCCCCCCCCAAAAAAAAAAAAAAAAAAAAAAATTGCTTTTGAAAATGGCACAGAATGAAAACTACAGGTTCAAGGTCAGAAAAGGGAAATGAGAGGGGATTTTTTTTTTTTTTTAAAGAGTCCTCCTCAGTATGGTCTAGCTGGCAGCCTGTTGCCTTCTCCCATCTTGTCCCACCACCTCTTCCCCAGAGGGAAGGCACTATGGTGGTGCAGGTAGTGATTGTTTCCCAGGGGGCCAATTTTTGCCATTTGCATGAGATCTGACTCAGAGAGCTGCAGTCCCCCAACACGGACAAAACTGTCACAGGTCCTGATGGAAGAAGAAAAGGCACTGAAATCCCCTGCTGAAAATGTTCACGGCCCAAAGAAATATCCTGTATTT